CTCCTCGTCTTCGTCAGCGTGGAAGTATGCGTTCTGCGCGTCCAGCACCATCGTGTTGTAGCCGTGCTGCGCCGCATGCTGGTCGATGAGCCTCCCCGTACTGCTGGTAGCTCCTGCCGTGAACAACCCTTCTAGTTCAGGATCGTTGCCTTTGAACTCTCTCGCCACGAATATGCACCTCCATTCGTCTGGGCCTCTTGGAACGTTTTCCCATCTCGTCGACAGGATGTCTGCGCTGTCTGGGACGTTCTCCACCGTCTCGAAGATCTCGAACTCCTCCATCGCGTTCATCTCTTTCTCCTTGCCCTTGATGATAGCCTGCGCTATCGCTGGGTCCACGCCTTCATATTCGTCCCAGTCCTCTTGCAGGTAGGCGTCGTCGTCGAAGTCCGCGTCGTACTCGTCCGCGTCCATCGTCACTAGCTCTTCCACTCTTGCCTTCTTCTCCGTCGGTGATGCCACGCCTGCTGGGTCTCCACCGCCGTCACGCTTTGTGGGAGAGCTTGGCACCATTGAACTCGCTGATGCCTTTGGGGTGCCTGGGACTGCCTGGCCCCGACCCTGATCCACTTCCATCTTCGCCGCGCCGCCGACCTGCTGTTTGCCCTGGGTTTGCCCTGGTACTGGAACTGCTGCCGCTGCTGGCGCTGCTGCTGCTGCTGCTGCTGCGCCCCCATCTTGCTGCCGTTGTGCTGGGGCTGCTTCGTCTGCAACTTCTGCTGGTGGTCCTGGCACCACTAGCGGTACTGCCTGCGGCGCCCTGGGTCCCTTCCTTGGCCTTCCCATCGGCCTTCCAGCGTATCTGTCCCACGGCGTGCCCTTGATCGCCTTGACCAGGTCGGCTCTGTCCTGCTCGCTCGTCGGAACCCTCTTGACCGTCCTGGTGGTGAACGCGCCCTCTTCGGTCCCGAACAGGTGCTCGTCGGACTCAATCGTCTTGCCCAGCCAGATCCCTCGTACGAGCCTGGCGTCTGCTCGTCCTTGCCTAACTCCAGCTCTGACCTTTCCCGTCGCCGTGACCGAAAGCTTGAAAAGCGCTGCCTCGCCGAACTTCAGCACTTCTCCCTGGTAGGCTTTGCCAAAGCAGTCCTCGCACGCTGTCCTGTGATTTGCCTTCGCGTGGTACCGCTCTAGGATCCATCCAGCGTGCCTTGCCATCCACGGCCAGATGTCCATGGAGGGGTCGACCTTGGTGCCGAGCCTTGCCTCCATGTCCAGCCGCACCGTCCTGATCTGGCCCTCTGCGGTCTGCTGTGCTCTGCCGACGACACCGACGTTTTGGCTGCTGAACCTCGGCGTCTTCTTGATCTCCAGCTTGATGCCGTCCATCATGCACTTCTGCTTCACCTTCTCCGCGATCGCGTCCAAGGCTGGCTCTGGGTCCACCTTGAGTATCGCACCTGGGTAAGCCATCCGCATGACGAAGGCCGTACACGTAGATGCTATGTAGTTGGTCTCGTCTGACTTCTGAGGAATCGCCATCGCCATCGGGTTCTGAGCCGCCACGTCCACCAGAACGAGTGTTGTCGCCCACGCTTGATCTCCTGGTGCATGCCTCCTCTTCGGGTCCTGCAACAGGTAGCAGAAGTCCATCTCGAACTCGGGTAACTTCTTCTTCTCCTCTGGCCTCTGCTCGCGTGGCTTTGCTCGCCCTTTGCCCATGACGCACCATGCACACCACGGCTGGTACGGCAAGTGTGTAACTTCATGTCGTGCTCGTTCTTCTGGTGTCGGTTCAGCTGGAGCTCGTGGTACGAAAACTTCGCCTTGGCCTCCAGCTTCGGCTAGCTACTTCGCGCGCTCCTCGAGCCACTTCTCATCCCTGATCTGGAGCTCGAGCTTCGCCTCTGCGTGCACCAAGCGCCCCCAATGCTGCTGCTTGGTTCCCCAAATCGGGGCCTTGAGCTCCTTCAGCCTCTTCCCCATGTCTTCCACCGAACTGCCGCTGAAGAGCCCTCCTTGACCGACTGGCTCGCCGTGCTGCTTGACCTCGAGCCACTGCTGAGCTAGTTGTTCTGCTTCTCGATCCAGCCGTGCGCCTTCAGGGATGCCTGGGTCAGGAGCCTGAGGTGCTCCTGCAACTGCCACTGGTGCTGCTGCTGCCGCCGAGCTCGAAGCCGATCCTGATGCTGATCTGCCCGGCTGCGCCTGTGGCATCTCCTCGTCCCCGACGGGCGCGATCATCACCGTCGGCTTGCTGGGCGTAGGTATCATCTTGATCCTCAGCCCGAACGTGCGTCCCTTCATGTGCACTGGCACCTTCACTCGTCCTCGGTCGGTCGTGATCTCCAGCCAAGGATCCTCTTTCTTGAAGAACATGTTGATGCCGTTCCTCGCGAGCTTGCCTGCGCTTAGCAGCGCCCTCTTCACGTCGCTCTGCACGAACGGGGTCTTCGCATTCACGACCGTGCGACCGTCGATGTCCAGCACCGAGTATTCGACCATGATCTTGCGACCCGACTCGATCTTGCCACCATCTGCTCCTCTGAGTCGAGCGCCGCCGGGTCCAACGTCCACTCCGTCGTCGGCGAAGTTCCACGGGCAGGCGTGCTCCTCGCATGCGCTGTCCAGGGGAAGAAACTCGTGGCCCTGGCTGTCCATGTTCTCGTCCCAAACGTTGAACACCCACTTCTCTTCGCCGCTGCCGTCGTCGTCGCCATGGTCGTCGTAGCTCTTGACCTCCTGCGACTCGGCCTCGTCGTCCTCGATCCTCTCGTAGACGTCGATCTCCCTGACATTAGCCTCTGGGTCCTCGTCGTGCGCATCTGGATCCTCGTAATCCGCATCTGGGTCCTCGTAGTCCGCATCTTGATCCTCGTAGTCCTCATCTGGGTAGCAGATCCTGCACCAGTGCTCGTCGTCGAAGTCGCCCTCGTGCTCGCACAGGCCGCACTCGTACTCGTCGTCCTCTGCGTTGACCTCTTCGATCATCGCGCTCGCTGGCTTCTCCTCGACTGACCTTACGTTCTTGGCTGGTGGTTCTCCTCGAAGTCGTGATCTGCACTCTGCCCACTTGTGTCCTTTCTTTCGGCAATGTCTGCGCTCGCCTTCGAAGCTGATCTTCACATATCGACCTTTGCCTTTGCCTTTATCCCTACCTTTTCCCTTCAGCCTGCAATATTGTGCTTTATGTCCTGGTCGTCCGCAGATCGCGCAACCTTTTCCTTTTCCTGTGCCTTTCGCTCCTTTGCCACCGTTCTGCGCTGCGTCGACCTCCATAGGGACTGGTCCTGAAGGGTCTGCTGCGTTTGTGCATCTTCCGTCTTTGTTGAACGTCCTACCAAACTGCAAGTACTCTCTGATACTCTGCTGCGCGTCCTTGTATCTTCCGTTTGCGGGTCCTGTGGCCAATCTCACCATCGCCCTGATTGACTCTGGCGCGTGGCCTGCCAATACTGCAATATTCATCGAGTCGCTGACCTTTTCTGTGCTCTCCATCTCGTACTCCGTGATGCGCGTCTCCCACTCGGTCAGGTCGTTCGCGAACTCGGCACTCGTCGCTCTTTGGTCCCATCCTGGCTGTAGAACTCCCATCAGCAGTGCGGTGTGTCTGCCTCCGACGTCTGGCGCGTATGCTGCCTTGATCCGCTTCCAAGCGAGAATCCCATTGTGCTTCTCCGCGCCTCTGACCAACGTCAGTGCTTTGCCACGTAGTTTGTTGACCAGCAAGTAGTAGAGTTGCTTGGCCTTCTTCTGCTGCTCTGGGTTGAAGTTGGCGAACTTCAAGTCTATCACGTCTCTCGATGCCGCGTCGAGGCTGTCTTCCAAATCCGCCATGCCGCACACACTCTCAAAGATGAAAGCCAACTCCTGCCATGATTCATCTTTTCCGTTGAAGATCGGGCACTTGTTCAGCACTCTGGGATCGATGTGCTGCTCGTTCCCGCCGTCGAGTCTTCCGCCTGCTTGGGCGGGGTCTGCGCGTCCTGCGCCTCCTGCTCGCTGCTCTGCCGCGAGCCGTGCTTGCCTTTCTTCTCCGAGCTGCTGGCGCACTTCCTGAAGTGCCTGGGCCAGCTGCTCGAGCGTCGCCATGAATCGCAACTTAGCTCCGCGTAACCATGTTATGATCTACATTGGAATCTGAGATGATGCATTTTGATCAATACCTCAGCCGAAGGCTACGGAACGGAAATCCTCCTTCACCTCTTCTAAACCGCTACAACATATATAAAACACCAACAGAAGGTGAGGGAGGGAGGGACGGGAAGGAGATGCAAACGAAACTCTGAACTCCTCTGACCCCTCCTCCCTTACCCTTCCTCCCCTCAGCTCCCTGCTCCCTCGTCCTCCTCCTCTTCCCTCCTGCTCCTTCTGCTCCTCCTCCAGGGCTCTCCCTCCGCGCCCTCATTCTCCGAATGCCCTCCAACATGTCTCACGGGGCCCGAATGTCTGCCGCCCCCCTTCCAACACATCCGCAGACACCATCCGCAGACACCAAAAACGTCGGCCGACAGTTTTGTAAGCCAAGGTCGAAGATGCCAGATCCTCCAGGAGCACCCGAACACTTTCCAACATAAAGACAAGTCGCATAATAAGGATGTGCGGTAAGGACGCAAGGGCCTTGGAAGGCCACGTTGGCGTTATCGAGCTGGGCTGACCAGCGAAAGTCGCCAGGGATGGGCCGAAGGGGCAAGGATGCAAGGGTAGCCTTGGCAAGTTGATCATCCTGACTATGCGCATTGACGGTGCTTGATCACATCAGGAACCTTTCCCCATCCGCACGCGCCCAGAGTCATCGAACACCTTTGGGTCCGATGACGGGGGCCCCGAGTACCGCCCCTTTGGACGCCCGAAGTGGGTACGAAAAAATGGGTGCGATGCCCAACGAAACATGTTGTCCAAAACCGACAGCAGCCGTTGTCGGGCAGGTGGCCGTCTGTCTCGAACGGACAACGCCCGCGGCGACACTGGCAGCGACCCCTGGTTCCAAGCGGACAGGAACTGCTGTCGGCCGTCGTGCCCATCCTGACCGCACCGTGCCCCAGCCCCGCCGCGGCCGCCTCTCTGGCGCTGGCGGAGCCCAGTTGCTCGGCCTGAGGCAGCCGCGCCGCGCAAAAGCGGCCGCTCCCTCCTCCACCCATCCTCTTTCGGGAGCGGAGCCTCGAGGCGTCATCTCTATCACAAAGGGGCCCACGGAGACATCAAATAAATAGACACATATCCCAAGATTCCCCATATTTTTCAGTATCTCATGGATTCTCGTCTCCCCCCCCCACTTCCCGTGCTTTCCGATACTTTAATGGAAATCTACGTTTGTTTGCGTCTGTGCCGGACCTTCTCCTGACATCACCTCACCCCCGCCCCCGTCCTCGGGAGCAGGAGGAGGAACCCCCTCCACTATGGAATCCTCGGCCTGCGCTCTCATCGACTTTCCTCTTTCATCCCCTCCCCTCCTCTCCCCTCCTCCATTCCAGCATCATCACGTCGCACGTCCTGTCCCGCCCATCTCTGCCCATTCCCTCCCCTCTAGTCCCCCCCGTCGCTCGCCCTCACAAAGTAGACCTGACCCTGCCCCTGCCCGCTGACCTGCATCTCTTACTCTGCCTCTCGCTGCCCTCCTCTGCATATTCCCCCCGTTTCTTGCCTCTACTGCTGCTGCTTCTTCACCACCTCCTCCCCCTTTCCTCCCATGGCCCTGCCCCCTCCCTGCTTCCTTCCTCTCCTCCCCGGGCTCTCCACGCCTCCCCTCCCCCCTCCACTCCTCTCCTCAACGGCTGGCCTGCCAGATGCACCCGGCGCCTCCCAAGGGCCTCCCCCGACGTTCCGATGCAGCCCCAAAGCTCTCAAATCCTCCAATGCCCCTCAGCCGAGGAGGAAAAGGAGGAGGAAGAAGAGGAGAATGAGGAGAGGGAGAGGGAGGAAGGAACGACGGCGGAGGAAGGAGGAGGCAGAGCGTAACGATGAGTCCTGTCTGCTTGAAAAACGCTCCGAATCCGCAATCCGCATTGCACGGCATTGGCGCAATATCGCCTCACGTGTCGTCGCCACTCTAGTCATTCCTGTACAGATTCTCCCAGAATTTGACCTCCAGCCCTGCGCCTGGTACCAGCGTTTCTATATGTTTCATCATGGAGTTCCAGCTCTGCGCACATGGTGATCGTTGCGCGGAGTGAGCGTGAAGCGCTGCATCCCGCACAAGATCCCATGGCTCCCAGCGGCCTCTTTTCTCAAAAGGACTGGCTGATGCTCGAACACAGGAAAATAGAAGTGCCTCTGGGCCCAGCGCTTGCGCACGTCTGCATTGGACGCGCGAGAAGACATCAAGAGTTTGGTGCCGCATATGTGAACGCAGCAGCGAGTTGTATCCAAGTTTCCTTTTCATCTTGCGTTGAGGCATGCTGCGCTGATGCTGTCTAGTAGTGTTGGGACCACCGCTGCGCTGAAAAGCTATATGTGTCCGTTTTCGGCTTGACGTGTGGCTCGACAGGGAATGAATGGGAAGAAGAGGAAATTCATTTTCGAGACGTACCTACCCCCTTTTCCGTGCTGAGCGAATATTTGTATGAACGCTCCATGCAAGAGAACATATCGGCAGACATGCATGATCTGCGCTGCCCTCACCTCCACCGTGCCTTCTGGGAGCCTACGAAAGTGGCCACAGTTGAACACTTTGCAGACCCCGAGGGAGAAGCGAGGTCTCACATGGATCTGCGATGTCCTCACCTCCGCCAGGTCTCCCACAAGCCCATGATAGCGGCGACAGTTGCGCAATTGGCAGCTCCCCAGGGAGCCGCGGGGTCTCAAATGCATCTGCGCTGCCCTCACCATTGCCGTGCCTCCCCAGAGCCCACGAAAGTGGCGAGAGTTGCGCAGGCGGCAGCCCACCAGGGAGCCGCGAGGTCCGCGCTGGATCTGCGTGGCCCGCCAGTTTGCTGGACCTGCCAGGAGCCCACGAAAGTGGCGACAATTGCGCAGTCTGCAGCCCCCCAGGAAGCCGCGAAGTCCCAAATGGATACGCGTGGCTCCTTGCTCCGGTGGACTTCCCCCAGGGAGAGCGCAGGAGGAGGGGGGAGGACGAGAGGAATGGAGACCTGTGTGCTCTATTCAAAACGAGAGCCCAACACGGAAGGGCTGGGAGAAGAAATGCCACGCATATGCGACTGCTGCTGCTCCTCCTCCTCCCCCTTTCCCGCACCATCGCAATCATCGCAGTTGTCGTCCGTTGGTTCCTCCCACAACCTACTTATCACCCAATGGTGGCCGGCTAGAACCACGCACACGCTACGCGCGCTTAGGTTCTAGCCGACTGCGCAGCTGTTATCAGTAGACCTCGAGCTAATCCATGAACTCCAAGATACCCAGGGAAGGGTTCTCCAGGCAAGGGCCGCCCTTGACGCGTGGAGGTGCTTGGCCTTCTGGGGGATAACTTCGGGTTCGGTAGACACTCGCGGATCCGTGCGAAGATCGACGTGCGACGCGTCGGAAAGCTCCGAGTGTTTCCCAGACTGCGCAAGCGCCGTGATCGCCATGGTGGCCGAGGAGGGCCCCATAGGCTCCGGGTCGCCAGGCCGTCGCCGCCGCCCCCGCGGGCGCCGCCGCGCAGCCGCCAGCGACGTCGCGATGATCGTCGTGGGTCGTGGTGGTGGTGGTCGTCTGTGGACGCGGTCGGACGATTGCACGTTCTGGGGCGTGTTTTGCTTTTCCGAGGCCTCCGGGAGCCGCCAGACTCTGCAGATCTGTGGGGCCTCCAGCGCCTCCAGAGGCCTCCTTGGGCTCTCCTGAAGCTCCCACAGGCCTCCACGAGAGCGCTAGAGGACAGCCTAGGAGGGCTCGCAGGAGCGCCAACGGAGCTCCCAGAGCGGTCCTAGAACCCAACAGTTTGACACACATTTAACACAACGCCGTCCTTGACGAGGAAGCGGTTTGTGTTAACTGCGTATTGACTTTGGAGCCGTCTTGGGGCCATCTTATCTCGGAACTCTCTTGGGGTGTCTCGGGCGCGTCTAGGTCATCTTGGGGTTCTCTTGGACCGTCTTAGGGCCCTCTTGCGGACCTCTTACGCCGTCTTGGGGCGGTCGTGAGGGCCTCTTGAGACGTCGTGGAGCGCCGGAAGCTCGAAAAGTCGAGGCCTTCGGACACATACAACAGCCTAAGGACAATCGTTAGTTTTTGCCTCCAGCGGTCATCTGGGAGCGCTCATCAAGATCTCTTGGCCGTCTGGGGGACAACTTGGACGGAAAGCTCGAACTATCGCTTCGGGCTCCTGCGCTCAGGCTCCTGGGACTGTCTTGGGGCGTCTTGGGCGCGTCTGAGTCTGAGGCCGCTTGGGGACCCCTTGGCCCGTCTTTGGGCACTCTTGGGGTCCTCTTGGCCCTTCTCGCTGCGTCTTGGGGGCCTCTTGGGACGTCGTGGAGCACCGGATGTGGGAAAAGTCGAGAATCCCCAAAACATGGGAAAACCAATGGCAAATCAATGATTTCTGCCTCTTGGGGCCTTTTGGGGAGCGCTCGTCGAGTCTTCTTGGACCGTCTGGGGGCATCTTGGGACGGAAGGCTAGAATTGTCCTTGCGGGTTCCTGCTCTCTTGGGCCTCTCTCGGAGCCGTCTTGAAGCTCTCTTGGGCCGTCTTGGGCCCTTCGTGGGACCATCTTGGCCCGTCTTCTTGGGGCCCTTTTGGGCCGTTTTGGGGCGGTCTTGGTGGCCTCTTGGAGTGTCATGGAGCGCCAGAAACTTGAAAAGTCGAGAACCCCGAACACATGTATTAATCCATGACAAATCAATGGTATTTGCCTCTCGGGGCTCTATGGGGAGCGCTCGTCGAATCTTCTTGGGCCGTCTGGCGCCTTCTTGGGACAGAAGGCTAGAGTTCTTTCGGGCTCCTGCTTTTGGGCCCTTCTTGGGATGTCTTGGGGACCTCTTGGGTCGTCTTGGGCCGTCTTTGGCCCCTCTTGGGCCGTCCGTGGGCCCTCTTGGGGGCTTCTTGGCCCGTTTCGGAGTGGTCTTGGGCGCCTGTTGGGACGCCGTGGAACGCCTGAAGCTCGAAAGACGAGAACCCCGAAAACATTTGAAACACCTTTGGCAAATCAATGTTTTTTTGCACCTTGGGTATATGGGGCCGTCCGGAAGCCACGCGGGATATCTGGAAGCCTTCTGGAGTCTCTTTGACCCCAATTAGGGCCGCCTATGCGGCTCTCGGGCCGCGGGGGAGGGTCCCTGGGGAGCCCCGCGCCCCCATGGCGACCAGGGGCAGCTGGGAGAAAACCCCCCGAACCTGTACCTGGGGGGTGTGAGCGGACGTGGTCCCAACCGGGAAATCGGTTTCGATGTCGGTTCGTGTCATGCGTGCGGGCGAGGCGAAGCTGCGCGAACTCCTGCACTGGGAAGGACCATCTATTGCCAATAGGGCCGCCCCCCGAGCGCTGGGCGTGGCCCCCGGGTTGTCCCGGCGGTTGTCCCGATGATTGTGGTTGCCCCGATAATGTCCCGCTAGTTGTCCCGCTGGTTGTCCCAATAATTGTCCCGATGATTGTGCCGATGATTATCCCAATGGTTGTCACGATGGTTGTCCCGATGGTTGTTGGATAGATAGATAGATAGATAGATAGATAGATAGATAGATAGATAGATAGACAAATAGATAAGTAGTTCGATAGATAGATACCGTTATCATCCCTCCTTCGTCCAAAGCACCTGGCCAGAGCTCAAGCACCCTCAACCCTGAGACGGTCCCTGACGCGGCGACACACACTCTATTTTCCAGGCCCTGAAGGCGTCTTCATTCAGAGAGCGGCGAGGGGCGGCAGCACGAGTGCGATCCCCGAGGTGCGATCCCCTCAAGGTCGCAGGATCCTGCGCAATCCTCAACCGCTGCAGGCGGTCTAACAGATCAGACTAAGATCAAAAGGGCGGGCTTGGGCGGGAGATCTTGAGCATGGGCGGTTATGGAACAGACGGCCAGGCGTAAGAAGGGAAGCGGGGGACATAAAGACAGTTTACAAACATACATTATCATCCCTCCTTCGTCCAAAGCACCTGGCCAGAGCTCAAGCACCCTCAACCCTGAGACGGTCCCCGACGCGGCGACACACACACAC